GGAATGGTTAAGATGAAAAGAAATGGGGCAAATGCAGCAATTGGATATGTTGGTGGAATTGGGAATGCTTAGTTTAAGGAAAAAGACTAGGGGGGTAACATGATAGCAGTGTTCCAATATCTCAGGGGTTGCCACAAAGAAGAGGGAGTCAAGTTAAGCATATGAGCAATGTGTGGAAACAAATCAAGGAGAGAAGCAATCTAGAACTAAGGAGAAATTTCCTGACAGTGAGAACAATTAACCAGTGGAACCACTTGCCTCCAGAAGTTGTGAATGCTCCAACACTGGAAGTGTTTAAGAAGTGATTGTATAACTATTTGTCTGAAATGGTGTAGGGATTCCTGCCTAAGCAGGGGGTTGGGTTGAAGATCTCCAAGATTCCAACTCTGTTTTTCTATTTTATTCTGTTCGGCTTCATTCCACTCCATTCCACTCCACTCCACTCTTATTTCAATGCAGAGCAATTTAATTGAAAGAAACATGTTTGAAAATGGGGGGATAATGATGTCTCTTTTTGCTATTTTTTTCCATACAGTTTCAATAAAGCAAGCATTGAATATTTTCAATTGTCTGAACTATTTTCAATTGTCTCAACAATCGTCTGAATATGACCCTCCCTACTATTTGCCAGAATGAATCAAGAAAACATAATCCCCATTTTAAAAAAAAAACAGCAAAGAAATAGGTTTAAAATAGGTCTATAAAGATATCCCAGCTGTGGAAACTCAATGTCCCTCCTTACCTTGCCTTCAAATTCTGTACACAGACTTTCATCAGTATTACACTGGAAAGGCACTTTTTGGGGATGCCGGCAGAGGCTCAGTTTCATCAGGCCAGGCACCGGTTTCCCATAGGTGTACCTGGAGTCAGAACCCACCAATATGGACAAAAACACAGAGAGGGAGATGGTTTGCATAGAGAAAGAAGATCAACAAGACCTACAGGGTTCAAAGGAAGCCATGTGGTTTGTTTGTTTTTTTACAGGATCCAATTCGAGTTAGTCACCTGGACCATAGATTTAGTCTTCCAAGCTTTCGGTGATGGGTTGGAGATCATCCTCAGAGTTTCCCTCTCTGTATTTTTCCCTCCCTCTCTCTCTCCTTCCCTCTTTCTCTCTCCCTCCCTCTCCATTTTTTCTTTCTCTCCCTCCCTCTCTCTTTTTCTCCCTCTCTCCCCCTCTTTTCCTCTCCCTCTTTCTCCCCCCTCTCTTTCTCATTCCCTCCCTTCCCCCCACTCTCTCCCACTCCAGAATGTGGTCACTGAGCTGTTCTATGTGTACTATTTATATGGTGCTCAGCTATGTGTGGCTTTTAGTTGTTAATTGGCATATTGATGGCCAGATTAATATCATTAATTAAGTCATTATTTTTTCCAAACAAAAACCAACCAGGGAAATAATAACCAATGACTTAATAGCCAGAGAAACAATAACCAACAATCTAATAGCTGGCCATCAACACCCTAATTAACAACAAAAAGCCATACACACAATTCGGAATTACATTAAATATTACGCATAGAACAGCCTGTTGCACATATTCTGCAGAGAGAGAGGATGGACCCCAGCATGACTCCAGAACTCAGAAGACTGAGCCTCTGGTCCTGGTGACGACTCAGATTGGATCCTACAACATTATCCTGGGACGCATATATTTACTTGCATTCATATTTTTTAAAATTTATAATTTTAATTTATATGGCTCATATATATTTAAGTCTGGCTGATTTGGATTGCTTTAACCTTCTGTGTTGTTATGTATTGCATTTCTTATTTTTCTTTCATAATTATCTTTTTTTTTTATTACGTCAGGTTATCATTGATTTTATATTATATTGTTATTTTTGCCATTTATCCATCATCTCAGACCAGAATGACTCGGGAAATTTTCCAATACTATTAAAGAGCAAATCTTGCAGCCAGAATTTTTTTTCCTTTCTGCTTGTTTATACTGTCTTTGTTTGAACAACCCTTGTTTACCCAGCCTTTCACAATAACAACCTGACTAGGACTGGGCTGCCTTCAAGGGAACTCTGCTTATTACTGTTATATATCTTCTCTCACCAGCTTCATCAATATTTATCTATTAGGTTTATTACCACTAGAACCTCCAGGTATATTTATTTATACCTATGGGTTATTTTATCTTGTTATGTCTTATAAAATATTTTTTTTTTTATTATTCTGCTCTGGTTTCCTTCAGAAGGTAGTAAATTACCACCATCATCATCACCTTCATCACTATTGTGCCTTTCTATCTATACCCCACAAGAGGGCAATGCAAAGCCAACCTTGGCTGATCTCGGAGCCTGAGCAGCTTACGGCCTGTTCGGTATTTGGACAGGAGGCCACCAGGAGATCCCAGGCCGGGATATTGAATACGACATTCTCAGAAGAAAACAACATCAAACCACTTCCATATTTCTGTCAAGAAACCTATATGGGCATGAAATCACCAAGAAGTGAACAAAACCCGAACAGGAGTAGATTTTCCATCCTCCCTTTCTTTTGCTGTTGTGACCTGTCAGCTGCCAGCAGAGCTAGTAGCAGAGTCAGATGAGGAGGAGGTTGAGGGAGGGCCTGGGCCAACTTCAGAGCCTTTGGAAGGCTCTGATAAGGAAACAGCATCAGAGACAGAGGCAAGGCCTTCCGTCCACCCCCAGGTGGAGAGGCAGCTGTTTTTGGGACCTGAGCTGAGTGAGGAGAAGGAACAGATGGGGTTCATCCCAGATATGTGTATGCATAGAGAGGAAAGGAGAGCAAAGGAAAGCAATAAGCTGGCTCTCAGGGAAAAGAAGACGTAGACCCTAGCTAGCCCCTCCCTGGCTGGGAAATAAACAGGAGGGATTTGGGAGTGGCCTGTTGTCGCCGACAATCATCCGTTCGTATACAGCAAACAGTTCGGATTTGTTGGCCAGAACCAGGTTTGTTGGGACTAATTACAGTTGGTTTTTGTTACTGTTGTTCCTACCCTGTTTTGAAAAGGGGGTTGTTTTACTCACGAGTAAGCAGCCTATCATTACTTGCGAAGGCTGGGTCAGAACACACACCAGGAAAATCTTGCACGTTCTGCTCACAATGGGAAAAGGAGAGTAGTTGAGCATCACGTACCTGCCACACACACTGACTTCTATTTTCTTAGTCACAACTGTGATGAGTTTCGGGGCCTTCACCAAAAGCTCAAATTTGGGCAGAACTAAAAGGAGGAAAGGGAAGGGATGAAAATCATGAGATGAACCTTGTGGAAGCACAACTGTCCAGTTCTCTCCTGTGACCTCCTTTGGGGACTAAGGAGATGGGAGAAATTGGCCAGACAATTGAGGTCTGAAAGGAAAAGTCAGTTGTAAATCTAAGTAAGACAAATTCAGTTTTGGTCGTCATGATGTAAAAAAGATGTTGAGAGTCTCTAGAAAGAATGCAGAAAAGATCAACAAAGATGATTAGGGGACTGGAGGCTAAAACATGAAGAACGGTTGTAGGAACTGGGTATGTCTAGTTTAATGAAAAGAAGGACTAGGGGAGACATGATAGCAGTCTTCCAATATCTCAGGGGCTTCCCCAAAGAAGAGGGAGTCAAGCTATTCTCCAAAGCACCTGAAGGCAGGACAAGAAGCAATGGGTGGAAACTAATCAAGGAGAGAAGCAACTTACATCTAAGGAAAAATTTCCTGACAAAACATTTAATCAGTGGAACAATTTGTCGCCAGAAGTTGTAAGTGCTCCAACACTGGAAGTTTTTTAAGAGATATTGGATAGTCATTTATCCAATAGTGGTGTAGGGCAGGGGTGAAATTCAAAAGTTTTCCCTACCGGCTCTTTGGGTGTGGCTTGGTATAGTAATAGCAAGCAGAGGTGATTGGGGCTATTTTTTACCAATTCAAATCGTCCCTACCACCTCTCCTGAGGTGGGCCAAGGTGGTTGAATTTCACCCCTGGTGTAGGTTTTCTTGCCTAAGCAGGGGGTTGGAGGTCCCTTCCAACTCTGTTATTCTATTCTAAATTAAACCTTGCATTAAGAAGGCAGTAAACATTATGCGAGAATGAATTTAACAATTCCATTTGGACAAACTTCTAAAATGTTTGGCTTCAGTCTTAGGTAATATGTTCTTGTTTTGGTGGCTTATGTCTTGTAGAAGTTCAACCCATTGAATTAGTTTCACCTGGGGGGAGGGATTGGGGGGAGGGGGGGTTGAGTGAACCTTCAATCCCACTGTCCCAACCACTATCTTAAATTTCTGGCCCAGAGACTCCATATTCATATGTGATCTGTATATGATTAGCTGGTAAATCATTATCTGAAATCTCAGGAAATGGGCTAATTTAGCTGAGTAACCATATCAATGTGAAATTTGTTGGAGAAATTGAGTCTTAGAATTAAACTGAATAAACAGAATTGTAAGGTCTCTGGCCTGCTAAATCCCACATTGCCAAATGTTTGTTTGTTTGTTTGCTTGCTTACTTATCCATCCATTCATTTCCTCCTTCCTTCTTTCCTTTCTTCCCCTACCCTCCTTCCTTCCTTTCCTCCTTCCTTTCTTTCTCCCTCCTTCCCTCCCTCCCTCCTTCCTTCCCTCCCTCTGTCCCACTCTCCTTCCTTCCTTCCTTCCTTCATTCTTTTCCCCCTTTTTCTTTCTTTTCTTCCCTCCCATCCTCCTTTTCTTTCTTCCCCTCCTTCCCTCCTACCTTCCTTCCTTCCATTTCCATCCTGCTTTTTCCATCCTTTAAAAAAAATCCTAAATATAAATATTCTAGCAGTAATGATTTTTTTAAAATCTACCAGCTCAACATGAAGAGGCATTTAAATTTTCAAACTTCAGTGTGTAGATTAAGCTGCTACAACTTTATTGGGACAAATAAACCTTAATTCATTAAGACAGTATTATCTGGACTGTCCAAAAGAAAAGGAAGGAAGGAAAGAAGGAAAAAAGGATGGAAGAGGAAAGAAGGAAAGGAGAAAGGGAGGAAAGGAAGGACGGTTGTGGGAAGAAAGAAAAGAAGGGTAAATTGGATCTCCCCTTCTTACCGTATTCGTCTACCTCAAAGCTGTAATCTGCAACTTTCTCGGAGTCTTTCTCTACCACCACTTTGTAGGTGCCCAAGCGGGGATCAGAAGACAGAGAATAGGAAAGCTGGATTATGCCCAATGGAGTCTCCACATCTCTCCACTGGAACACCCGGTTGTTTTTGGGATCCTGGAAAGAACAAGTTCAAAAGATTGACCATAACCGACAATTGTTCTAGAATCAGTGGTTCATGACCCAGGCAATGTAATCCTACAATCCCATTCTCCGAGTGCTATTAGCAATGTATTTAGATATGACAGCCTTCCAGAAGCCCACATATATATTAGGATTAAACTCTGCAACATCTGCACCCAGCAAGGACAATTGCTGTGCTGGGCTGGAAATTTGGGGAGTTATACTCCCTAATTTTCTGAAGGCCCCAAGTTTGAGATGGTGGCTATAGGTCTTAGAGCCGTGGTGGTACAGTGGTTAGAATGCAGTACTACAGGCTACTTCTGCTGACTGCCAGCTGCCTGCAATTTGGCAGTTCAAACCTCACTAGGCTCAAGGATGACTCAGCCTTCCATCCTTCTGAGGTCAATAAAATGAAGAGCCAGATCATTGGGGGCAATATGCTGACTCTAAACTGCTTAGAGAGGGGGGTAAAGCTCTGTGAAGCGGTATATAAGTCTAAGTGCTATTGCTATTAGCAAGAAGGCTCTACCATTGGACAAAGGGATGTTCGAGCTCAGATTGTACAAGCTGAGGGAGGCTGGGACATATTTCCTTGAACACTTTCACAACTTTAGAGCAACTAATTTAAGAAAGAAGGGAGCAAAACAAAACAAGCTTCTCGGCTGGTTGCCAGATCAGCACTGCATTACTTCAGAGGACCACTAGATGGAAGGGATGTATTCACTGAGTAGCTCACCATTCTGCTGCCATCTTGAGGAATTGCAGCCCAGAAATGGTAGCACTAAATAACCTGTGAACTACTTTATGCAGGAAGTTGATTCGTGTTTTTAGTTGATTTCCTTGATCGATGTTACTGTTTCTGTGATCAAATGCAAGGAGAGGGCTCTCATTCAGCCCAATTCCTAGTAAAGAAGATAGGAATGGACCTGTCAAAGACAAAGTATCCCTCGTTTTGCTACTTTTGAGACTGGGTGAAATAGCCCCATTCTTAACTAAGTGAAATGGGACTCAATATTAGCTACTTTAAAATTTTCTCTCCCTCGTCAAGAAGAGATATCCTTGAATCTTTTTCTGGGCAACAATCTGGAAATGGTTTGGCATTTTGATTTCCCAAGAGCCTGTATCCCTCAGATTTCCTGGTGGCCTCCCATCCAGAGATTCATGAGGTCCAATCAGCCATGGAGCTGGCACTGCTATGGCCTTTCAGCACATACCTGGATGTACACAACTGGAAACTATGGAGACAAAAAAAAAGCACAAGAAAATCAGAGATACCGAGGAATAAAAATGAGGATAAAGAAAAAAAAGTAGAAAAAAGGGACATGGGAGATTCTTTTATGTTGCATTATGGTTTTGATGTGTATTTATTTGTATCTTGCCTTACCTCATGGGACTACTCTTGGAATTCCCACATACATACCCATAACAACCACCTTGTGAGGTTGGTTGGTTGACAGTGCCTAGCCACAAGGTCACCCAGCCAGTTTTCATGACTAAGAGTAGATTTAAGCTCAGCACTAATCCAAAGCCTTCAATTACTCCATGAGTCTTCACTTAGGAGTATCTCCACACACATTTAGTTCAATGTTGTATGTGAGGGGTCCATACAATTCCCCTGAAGGGGAATTGACTCCAGGGAGAGCATGAATTGAATGTTTTCTCACGGAGATGCCATTCATCTCTGTCTGTCTTAATACCCCCTGTTAAGTCTGGGAGATTGGTCCCGGGTAGATCAGTCCCGGGTAGATCGGGTCACATTGAGACGCGAGACTCAAAGTGCACATTCAGCTCTTTATTGAATATACAGTTAGCTCCAGGACCTGCGAGCCGCTTGGCTTTATTCAGCCAGCCGGCGGCTTGGCGGCCAATGGCAGCACCTTGAATTTCCCGCGATCGGCTCAGCCAATCGCGGTAGGTTCTTAGTGTGCCAATCACAGTCATTTAGTTAACCAATCGGGTTGTGGTCCGTGTGGACCAATCAGAACTCAGGTTTTCGAGAATGTTAATATAGAACACCCCCCCCCCGCAAATTTACCTCCTCCTTCATGGGATGTAAATCTTTATCCATAGAGACGATGCGAAACTTAACTGCAAAAGACAGAGGGAGAATATGTGGGAAAAGTAGCCACTAAATATAGAAACATTAAAATATAGAAGGGATCTTGGAGATCATTCACTGTAGTCCAGTGTTTTCTCGTACTTGAGAATTTAAAGATGTGTGGACTTCTGCTCCCAGAATTCCCCGGCCAGCCATAGGGTTTTTCCAGAAGATTCCATGCTGGCTGTTGAATTCTGGGAACAGAAGTCTAAAGATCTTTAAGCTGCTCCAGTTGAAAAACACTAATTTGATCCCTGCCCAGGGCAGTAATACACTGTTGCAGCATTCCTGGTTGGTTTTGTTTTGTTTAAATTCTTCCATCAATCCTTCCTCCTGGGTAGTCAAGCCCATCCAGCTCCATTAAGACTTTTTTTTCTGATGCACAATCATAATGTACTTTTCTGACATTTAAACCATTGTTTCGTGTCTCCTAGAAAGACCCCCCCCCCCAAATTGAGCAGCTAAGAGATACATGATGACCACTGTCAGACCTCCACATAGTCTTCTCTACACTGAGGCAAGAGCATACTCACTATCTCCAGACATTTATCATAGATCTTTTTATCCCCCTTCCCTTTGGTTGCCCTCCTCTGGAGACATTCTGGTTAGTCTGTTTTCACTGATGAAATGCAGGGTCCAGTCAACTGGAGAAGAACAATGAGGACTCCTGACATCAAAGAAGTCACGTGGTTATGCTTATCCTGCTTCTATTCCACTCGGTAGATGGTGTTGGAAAATGATTACAGGTCATCTCCAGATTACATATAGGTAGTCCTCAACTTACGATCACAATTGAGCCCAAAATTTACATTGAGTGAGACGTTTGTTAAGTGACAGTTGCCCCATTTTACAACCTTTCTTTCCTAGGTTGTTAAATAAACCACTGCAATTGATAAGTTAGGGTTAGGGTTGGTTGTTAAGTGAATCTGACTCTTCCCGATTGACTTCGCTCATCAGAAAGTCTCAAAAAATGATCACATCACTTTGGGACACAAAGTGCAATTTTCATAAACATGAGTCAGTTATCAAGCATCTAAATTTTGATTATGTGACTTCCAGTGGCATCTTCTTCACTGATGGACCGAAGACTGCAATTGTGTGTGGCTTTGATCCGTGCTCTCTTGTTGGAGGGCTCTGAACATCTGTTTTGGGGGGACAAAATCACCCTGTAGGGGTGGTGAAGAAAGGGGAGACCGCCAGCTGGGTCGAGGGGAGCTGCATTTCCCCTCCCTGGCTAGGCATACTCCCCTCTGAAGATGGGCTGTAGCAGTAGTCAAATATGGCCACCCTGAAGAAGAAGAGCTAACCAGGACAAAGATTGTAATGGAGCAGTGAAGAAGAGGACAGCGTGAAAACCGGGCTAATCAGACACAACATCTGGAAATAAAGGTACCCCGGAATTAAGATCTTAAGAAATTTCTAAGAAAGATAGTAAAAGCGATGACCAGAGAAAATGAAAAAAAAAAATTGACAGCTGAAAGTGGCTTTGAACTTTGAAAGGAGGAAGTCAGAAAAAAAAAGATTTGTTTAAACTTATATGATTTTGTCACTAAATAGGCTTAATCAAAGCTGAACTTGGATGTGCCAAAAAAAGGAAACAATAACAGTAACTGATATTTGGATTTTTGGAATCTAAAAGCCCTAAATAGAGAAGAGAAAGTGGGGGGAAAGGGCGGAATTCAGACATAACAGAGAGTGTCATCTAGTGGTAAAGGAAAAATTTAGTGACTCTTTGAAAAAGGAAAAAAAACACCTGGTTCTTTTAAAAGAGGAATTTGATACAAAATAAGAGAAACTTTGTTACAATAAAATAGGAACCCTGAAAAGTGAAAAGTGGAAATACAGAATATTAAAATAAAGAAGCGTAAAGAAATTACTCTGGAATTGTTTGGTGATCTTGACATAAACTTAAATTTATGGATATTGGACTATTTGATCAACCTGGGAAAAACTTAAAGAGGAATTAATAAGAGCTGGTCATTGGAAATAAATATCAAAGACGCTGGTCGAATAAAAACTACTGGATAATTAACCTAAAGACTAAAGAAAGAGATAAAGAAAATATAACAGAAGTGTTTAAAAATGGTAGAACTTTTTTTGGAGCTACAATTGGAACTAAGAAATGTAAAAAGAAATGCTACATGAAAAAGGTGAGTCGTGCTGTCTTGCCTTACAATCATTAGAAATGACAATCCTGGAGTATGAAGAACAACAAGGAGTGCCAGAAGGGGAGGAGCTGATCAAAGAAGGGGACAGCTCTAATGAACAATTGGAGAACGAACATCAAAGTGAAGGAGGGAAAAATGGGAATTAAAACTTGGAGATCTGAGGAGGCTATTAAAAAGAGGAATGTTTTCAAAACCAAACAAAGTAAAAGGAAACAGCAGAAAAGGGAATCACAGAAGAAAGCTTTAAAGAGGGAGGGGGATAAAAACTGGAGTAAGAAAAGGAGGGGAAAATGAAGGAAAAAAGAAGTGATAAGAAAAAGGACCAGGAAGAGGGCGGAGCTGGCGTCGTGATGATACGGCATGCAATCTCGGAGGTCTGAGATGGCAGCCGATATCTTTGCCCCTGGACGGTCCAAATGGATCTAAACCATCCCGAAGAGACGGCGATAGTGAACAGCGCATCCTGTAGATCCCAGGGATACCGCAAAGTCCCTGGTTGATCCAGGAGAAGCTCTTCTTGCCAGCGGCAGAGAGGCAGCCATTAAAGCTGCTGAAGTTGGGACAGCTCCGAAACGGAAGAGAGCAGAAAGAGAAAGTGTGCCGGTTTGGTGAGAACACCTTGCGACTCGCTTAACAATCACCTGGCTTAGCAATGGAAATTCTAAAATTTATTTTAAAAAATCTGTAAAAATTGTAACAATAAAGTTTTGGAAGGGTTAGAAAAACAAGAATTTTAGGAGCTGGAGTCACCCTTTACCTTCTTGTCCCGCTCTGTAGATTGGTTTGTCCGTCTGGATGAAAACCAGATGCTTTGGTTTCTCGATTTGCACTTCTTTGCGGTTCTGGAAACTCTGGGTCAAGCCATTTCCAGTCAACTGAAGAATGGCTTCTGATGGAAGAGAAATGTTGCTCCGCCTGGGAATCTGCAGGATGAAAAGAGACAAAATCAAATGGTTTGAGAGGTATCGTTATCATGATGATCTATTGCTTTGTGTTTGCATTATGTTGAATACAACAACCTAAGGGGGAGAGGGAGGGAGAGCGAGAAAGAGACTTACCTGGAAAGGAACACATTGAAATACATCTTTTTCTTTTACCGTCACTTGATTCAGGACCTCGGAGTCCAACAAGAGGGTCAAGTTGAGTGTTTCCTTCAGATTGTTTATCTGGACACAGAAGTTCTCAGTGGTCTCCATGTAGATTATGCTGGGTACTACTGCCACATATCGCCTTGAAAAGAGGGGCAGGGGCTCATATTAGAAAATATGCAGAGCAAATACAGAAGGGTTTCCTGAGATTTGGGCCTGTGTGGGTGGAGATAAATCTATGTCAAAAGGTTGAATCATGATACTGGACCATCTTTGTTAATCTGAAGCATTTCGTTGCTCATCCAAGCAACTTTATCAGTCAGGGCAAAATTAGTCAGGAAGAGTCAGAGTTGTATTTGTACCAATTTTTGCCACACAAACTTCAGGGGTTTCTTCCCAAAATTGGCTGCAATCTGGGGAGAAGCCCTTGGAGTTGGTGTGGTGAGAGTTGGTACCTTCCAATGACTCTCTGACTCTGCCTAGCTAATTTTGCTCTGACTGATGAAGTTGCCTAACTCTAACCCTTTGGCCTGGAATACTGAGTCTTCATCAATACAAATCTATAAAGCAACCTTGGCATCTTTAAGGTGGGTGAATTTCATCTCCCATGCTCACTGGGGAATTACAGAATAACAGAATTGGAAGGGACCTTGGAGATCATCTAGTCCAACCCGCTGCTCAAGCAGGAGACCTATACCATTTATGACAGGTGGCTGTCCAGTCTCTTGAAAGCTTCCAGCGATGAAGCTCCCACAACTTCTGAAAGCAAGCTGTTCCATTGGTTGATTGTTCTCACTGTCAGAAAGTTTCTCCTTATTTCCAGGCTAAATCTCTCCTTGTTCAGTTTCCATCCATTATTCCTTGTCTGGCCTTCGGGTGCTTTAGAAAATAGCTTGACCCCTTCCTCCCTGTGGCAGCCCCTCAAATATTGGAAGACTGCTATCATGTCTCCCCTGGTCCTTCTCTTTACTAGACTAGCCAGGCCCAGTTCCTGCAACCATTCGTTCTATGTTTTAGCCTCCAGTCCCCTAATCATCTTTCTTGTTCTTCTCTGCACTCTTTCTGGAGTCTCAATATATTTTTATAGTGTGGTGACCAAATCTGGAGGCAGTATTCTAGGTGTAGTCTTACTAAGGCTTTATAGAGTGGTATTAGTACTTCATCCTGATCAGTGGTGGGATTCAAATTTTTTTACTACTGGTTCGGTGGACGTGGCTTGGTGGGTGTGGCAGGGGAGGGACACTGTACAATCTCCAGTGAGAGGTGGTATTTGCCGGTTCTATGAACTACTCAAAATTTCCACTACCGGTTCTCCAGAACTGGTCAGAACCTGCTGAATACCACCTCTGATCCTGATTCAGTCTCTCTGTTAATGCAATTTAGGATTGCATTGGCTTTTTTTGGCTGTTGCCACACACTACTAGCTCAATATTTAGAATAGAATAGAATAGCAGAGTTGGAAGGGACCTTGGAGATCTTCTAGTCCAACCCCCTTCCTAGGCAGGAAACCCTACATCATTTCAGACAAATGGTTATCAACCATCTTTTTAATTTAATTGACTGTCCACTAAGACTCCAATCCCTTTCACAGTTACTGCTACTAAGCCAGGTTTCACCTAATCTGTATGTGTACTTTTGGTTTTTCCTGCCTAACTTAAGACTTTACCTTTCTCTACAATGAATTTCATTTTGTTAGATAGGACCCAGTATTCAAGTCTGTCGAGATTCATCTGGCTCCTTAGTCTATCAAATAGGATGTTAACTATTTCTGGCAGCTTACTATCATCTGCAAATTTGATGAGTTCTATTCTTCTATTCCCTCATCTAAGTCATTTATGAAGATATTGAGGAGTACTGGCCCTAAGATGGAACCTTATGGTACAATACTGCTTACTTCCCTCCATGTAGACGTGGTACCATTAAGGACTACATATGTGCAAGCTATATACAGTCTGTGTGTATGTGTGTAATGTGTATATGTGTGTTATGTATGTGTATCAGAAATATATATACTTTCTTTTGAGGGCTGGCAACAGAATTTCATTTTTAATGTGGGCCAGTGTGCTCACAAACATGAGTGTGTGTGTGTGTGTGTGTGTGTTTGTGTATGTATGTGTACCTGTGTT